ACGTCACTTCTGTCACACAGACGTCACTTCTGTCACATACAGACGTCGCTTCTGTCACACACAGACGTCACTTCTGTCACACACAGACGTCACTTCTGTCACACAGACGTCACTTCTGTCACACACAGACGTCACTTCTGTCACACAGACGTCACTTCTGTCACACACAGACGTCACTTCTGTCACACACAGATGTCACTTCTGTCACACAGACGTCACTTCTGTCACACACAGACGTCGCTTCTGTCACACACAGACGTCGCTTCTGTCACATACAGACGTCACTTCTGTCACATACAGATGTCGCTTCTGTCACACACAGACATCACTTCTGCCACACAGACGTCACTTCTGTCACAGACGTCACTTCTGTCACAGACGTCACTTCTGTCACTCAGACATCACTTCTGTCACACAGACGTCACTTCTGTCACATACAGATGTCGCTTCTGTCACACACAGACGTCACTTCTGTCACACACAGACGTCACTTCTGTCACACAGACGTCACTTCTGTCACACACAGACGTTGCTTCTGTCACATCACATGTCACTTTTCTGTTCTTTTTTTAATACGTATTTTTCATTGTAAAGATGCTGTACAGAGTGGTTACAGTTACATGAGTAGGGTAATGAGCACATTTTCTACCGAGCATTGTTACCCCCTCCTTTGTTTTCCCGTACCATCCCTTCCCTCCCCACTTCCCCAACTCCCCCACCCCCTGAAGTTGTAAAGCTTGTTTTCAACACAGTGTCTTGTACATCTCATTGTTACAATGGGTCAACCTGTATCCTAATTTCAGCATTTTGTTATTTCCCTTCCTCTCCCCAAATTAGAAAAGATGCAGGGCTCTGGAATCAACTACAGTGAAAACAGGGGTTATACCATGGGGGAAGAACATACAAAAGAACAAAAAAAATCACCTAGTATAAGTACATTAAAAACAACGCAAGAAAAATAAAACCTCATGTCCCTATCTTGGGGTTCATTTCACTTAGCATCGTCTTATTGGTCATAGGGACATAGCTTTTGGCCTTTTCTGCTTATCCTGGACATATACTAGTTGTTGCAAATAAGGAAAACCATGAGACCTATGTTTCTTTGGGCCTGGCTTACTTCACTTAATATAATTTTTTCCAAGTCTTTCCATTTCCTAACAAATGGAGCAATGTCATTCTTTCTGATGGAGGCATAGAATTCCATTGTGTATATATACCACATTTTCTTGATCCATTCATCTACCGAGAGGCATCTGGGTTGGTTCCATTCTTATCTATGGTAAATAACGCTGCAATAAACATAGTTGTGCTGGTAGTTTTAGTATGGTCTTGTGATCATTTGGGTAAATGCCCAAAAGTGGGATTGCTGGGTCCTAGGGGAGCTCTATGTGGAGTCATTTGAGGAACCTCCATACTGCTTTCCAAAGTGGTTGAACAAGTTTACACTCCTACCAACAATGCAGTAGGGTTCCCTTCTGGCCACATCCCCTCCAGCATCTGTTGTGATTAGAGTTCTTGATTATAGCCATTCTAACTGGGGTGAGAGGAATTTCAATGTTGTCTTGATTTGCATTTCTTTTATGTCTAGAGAGGTTGAGCATTTTTTCATGTGTCTATTGGCCATTCTTATTTCCTCTTTGGAGAGGTCTCTCTTTAAGTCTTCAGCCCACTTATTAATCAGGCAGTTGTTCCTTTGAAGATCTGTTGTTGGGGGATTTAATTTGGGGGGTTCCAAGTATATTTTAGGTAGGAGACCCTTGTCTGGTGTATGGCTAGTGAGGGTCTTCTCCCCATCTTGCCAGCTGTGTCCTTTGCCGTGCAGGAGCTCTGCAGCTGCGTGCAATCCCATCTGTCCAACCTTCTTTGATTTGTTGCACAGGCATCACTTCTGCTGCACACAGATGCCACTTCTGTTAGAGCTTCCTCTGTTGCAGGCCTGTATCAGCAAAAGTCTTTCTAACGTCACACCAGACTCCGCTTCTATCGCATTGCAGTCACATGACAGTTACAGCCCAGCTCCCTTCAATTACATCCCAAACCTTCCTTTATTCTGTCACAGACCTTCCTCCTGCTTTGTACAGCCAGGCTGTTCTGTTGCACGTCTGCCCTCTCTGCAGGTTCTCTGATGTCTGAACAACCACCTGGCACTGCTCCACTTCGCTTTCTTCTTCTCGCTCTCTTTCTGCATTAGTTCCCGTGGTACTGCAGTCAGCCATTTTAAGCTCCCATGTCTGTCCTATCTGAGTCTGGGTTGAAGGGCTGGTCTGGCTCTCTGTGTGCCATGTTTACCTTCTAGCATGGTGACGTTGCTGTTGACGGCAGAACATGAACAGGTGAGAGAAGCCGAGGAGGAGGCCTTTGGTGTGCAGTCTCATAGTGTTCGGGCCAGTCTCGGGCAGCGCTGTGTGCTGTGGGTGAGGTGCCAGGCCTGCAACTTTCTTTTACTGTTCTTGTCTTCTCTGCTGTCAGTGGACTTCCTGTGAGAGATCTTCTTACACTCTGTGTGAGCAAAGAAAGTCTCAGTCCTCCTGCGGGCCTGTGCTCCCAGCCATGACCTCCACACAAGTGTCTTTGCCTTCCATCATGGGAGAGGAAAGCCAGAGAACTGCCCTCTGGGCTGCGTGGTTCCAGTGGTATAGCTCCCGGGGGCAGGCCCCGTAAAGGAGGGGCGCACCACCTTGACCAGGAGGGCAGGGCCCGGCTCCTGGGGAGAAACTCACACACAGGCATCTCAGAGTTCTCTTCAAAGCTAGTGCTTTCTACCCTCCTGTCCAATGAGCCTCAGCTGTGGGCTCTGGTGGCACGCTGCCCCTGGGGTGTATGACCCTGTGTCCACCTGCCTACTCAGGACAGTGGCTGCTCCACGGCCCAAATCCCTACAGGGTCTCAAAGGGGCTCTGCCCTCAGCCCATTCGGCGTGGTTCTGTGAGAACGGGAGCCAGGCATTCAAACTCCTCACGATGGACCAAAACTGGAAGTCCTCCTTGCTTGTTAGATTCACCTTTGCAGAGTCCTTAATTTTGCAACAAGTTTTTTGGTTTAAAATTCAGGAAATTACTTTAAGAGTTTGTTCAAACTGCTTATAAATTATTGCCCTGCCATAAGCACATTCAAGCCAGAAGAGTGATGCTGTGAGTCACAGGGACAAACGTGCCCCATTCCAAGAGCCCAGTGACACATCTGTGAAAGGGTCAGCAGCACCAGGCACCAGCCAGGCTGCTGTGAGCGTGTTGGAACCAACACAGATTCAGCCAGGCCTCTGAGAGTGTGTTGGAAACAACACAGAATCAGAAACAGGTGCTGAGCACACGTTGCCCACCAGCCCACTTCCGCGGCATAGACAACATGAAGTCCCCTGGTAAGATTTCCTGGAGTTTCATGTGTATCTAAACTGGAGCTCTATATGGATCTAAATTGCTGTTGTAAACAGATGATGGCCTACTCAGTTACTTCGACTCATTTCACTTAGCAGTAAAATATATATGTGCAGTTTCTTAAAAAGGAGAAAGTGTGCCATGTGCCGGTGGCTCATGCTTATAATCCTAGTTACTCCGGAGGCTGAGATCCGAGGATCACAGTTTGAAGCCAACCCAGGCAAGAAACTCTGTGAGACTCTTATGTCCAAAAAATTACCAAAAAGCCAGAAGTGGAGCTGTGGCTCAAGTGGTACAGCACTAGCCTTGAGAAGAAAAAAACACAAAAAACAAAAAGCAAAAAACCTGAGGGACAGTGCCTAGGCCCTGAGTAGAAGGCCCTAGACCTTCTACAGATTCAGATCCCCCTTCTGATATTCAAATTTATTTTTAATTATATATCTTTAAGTAGTTGTACAAAGGAGTTACCATTCACCAAAGAAGTCTGTGTCTACAGTGCATCTCCATCAACGTCACCCTTCTCAACCTTCGCACCAACTCCTCCATCCCTCACTTTTCTTAACTTGGTAGAAGAGGCATTGATTTTTTTTTTTTTTTTTTTACTTCTATGGAACCACAGAAGAGCGGCTCCAGAAATCTCATGAGGATCCAGCTAATGGTCTCACGTCTACGGAGCCGTGGGATCTAACGGTCTCTCTCACGTCTACGGAGCCGTGGATCCAGCTAACAGTGCCACAGAGGAGCACAGAGGAGCCACAGAGGAGCGGCTCCAGTCATGTCACTCCAGCCACAATCCTCAGTGTAGATGCTGGGTGCTGGTACTGCATATCTGAAGAACCCTCAGCCAAGAGGGCAGGGGGAGTCACAGTCCTGGCCAGGAACTTCTCTCCCTGTGACAGAATCTTTGCTCAAGCAAAGCAGAGGAGATGCCCCAAGCTTCCTGAGGGGCCATGAGCAAAAGGACAGACTGGAGCCAGCTAACAATTAGTTACCTCTCACCATTATTACAACTCTTAAGACGCTTCAACATGATGTGATCTGGCCCTGCACTAACATGGAGTTCAGGACAGTTCACATATAGTAGGAGAGAAGGTATCCAATGGTCAGCAAACACACCCATGTCCCATAGACAGACAGGGCTCACAAGGAAGTCCCTCCCACCTGGACAGCAAATGTCCCTGAGACACAAGGTGAACACGAGGAGTAGAGGTTGTGTCAGAAGGGGTGTCTGGGATGGTGGACAGGTTGTCTCTGACAAATGGCAAACATATCAGTAGCCATTACGCAAGGGTTAGCGTTTTCCACCTGCACACTTCTGTCTACTTCTGTGTCTGACATACACAAGCCACTGGTTCTGCTTCAATTCTTCTTCACATTTTTCCATGGGAACACAGAAAACTATCCCCTTCTCCACTAGCCCCTAGAGAAGAGCTGGCGTGTGGTGCAGGAGGGCGGGTGGGCTGGGACCAGAGCACAAGTCCACGTTGGAGAAGCTAACAACCAAGTCTTCACAGGCATCTCTGGCTAGTGACTGCTCCCAAAGGACATCAAACCTGGACACCCAAGCCCTCTCTGGAAGACAGGATGACACCAAGGCAGACCCCAGAAGATGGCATTGAGTCTTACCTTTAAAGTCAAACTGGTAGATGTTTTTTAGGGATTCGTGAAGAAAGTAAAAGCTTCCTAGTGCCTGTAAGAGCAAAGACAAAGATGGATCAGAGATGGTGCTAGAGTAACAACTTCATCCCGGAGGGAGGTCCGTGCGACCAAGCAGCTCCTTAAGCTGGAAAGTGGCGGAGCCGCCGTGGTGCGGCTACCAAGACGTGGCTGGCCTCAGAGCCTGCCAACATCCCACACCAAGTGGAGACCTGAGAAGGGACATGTTTGGACCCACCTCTCTGGAGCGCTGGACCTCAGCTCCATCCCTGCCCGGGTTTGAGCGCGGCACAGCACTGCCCACAGCCTCCCCTCCTCTCTCTGTCCTGAACAGAGCTGCACCCTGCATCTGCACCTGGACATGAGGGGTGGTGGGGGCGGTGGCTGCATGGATGCTATGGGGGCAGGGCCGGGGGGGGGCAGCACAACGCAGATCTGAAACGCGGTGTAACGCTTGGACATCACGTGTGCATTCACGTGGACACATGTTTACATGCTCATGTGTATGTGCACTCACTGTCTTACAAACCGGGCGAGCTCCGTGAGGACATGCGGGTCTCTGCAGCAGACTACAGAAGTTACAAAAGTACATTTGCCGGAACCCTCTGGACTGGAGCCTGAAGGGATACTTTTGACTATCTGTAGATTATATGCTCGTAAAACCACTTAGCAAACAAGACCTACCCCAGTGGGACTCACCCAGGAGTGCAGAGGAGAAGCCAGTGAGTTGAACGTGGCTCTTACTCTCCTTATGTGTGTCGGAGCTGGTGCCTCCCGGGGGCTGGGTGCGGGACAGCCCAGCCCTGCCTGTGGCACGGTGCCCTGGCACCGCCCTGGGCTCATGACTGCTGTGCTGCTGCCCCACATGAAGGAGATGGTACAGTGGGCAGGGTAAAGAGCCAACCAGGGCCCAGAGACTCTGAGATGCTGGTGGGGACCCAGCCCAAGGCACCACACCCCTGTCTGTCAGCCAACCCTCAGCAAGCCCGAACATTGTCCAACTCAGCCACCTGCAGTTCATGGTCTTGAAGTGTAAGCCAAGCTCATGTCCCCAGAGGGACAAAGCTTCTGTGTGTGTGTGCGTGTGCATGCACGTGTGTGCACATACGTGTGTACGTGGAGGGGAGAGGGAGCTGAGAGCACAGAAGACTTTGAGGAAAAACCTTTATGGGCAACTTGATATCAGAGGATATTTTGGTTTCACAGTTGATGTTGAGGTTTGACAACAGTTCTTTCGTCTTGCAGGAGAGCAGTCAGGACGACCCCAGAGGGTTGGAATGGAGCATCACACACCATAGGTCGGTCAGGTGTAAAGTGTGTGGTTTCTTTTTTACCCACTTTCACAAAATCTGCCTGGGAAACACTGAGCCCCTTCAGCAACCACGTCCTTCTCCCCTAGCCCTCAGACGTTCATATCTCCACATTCTTGTAACATACCCCTTCGTAGGAAGGTGAGCAAAGTCAGCATCTTAGTTTATTCCATTGTAAGTGGACAGTTTTAAAAAGCCATCACAACGAGCTGATGGGGAGCTGAGGGATAGTCATACTGTTGGGTCTACACAATAAGAAGTGGCCAAGACGGGCTATCCCCACCCCACCAGTCAGAGCACTGCGTTTTCTCCTCTCCAGCATGATTATAGGGCTTTCTTTTTTGTCTTTATTTTTTAAAAATTTTATTGTAAAGGTAATGTACAGGGGTTACAGTTATGTAAGTGACTCACTGGTTTATTGTAAAGGTGATGTACAGGGGTTACAGTTATATAACTGACTCACTGGTTTATTGTAAGGGTGATGTACAGGGGTTACAGTTATATAACTGACTCACTGGTTTATTGTAAAGGTGATGTACAGGGGTTCCAGTTATATAAGTGGCTCTCTGGTTTATTGTAAAGGTGATGTACAGGGGTTACAGTTATGTAAGTGACTCACTGGTTTATTGTAAAGGTGATGTACAGGGGTTACAGTTACGTAAGTGACTCACTGGTTTATTGTAAGGGTGATGTACAGGGGTTACAGTTATATAAGTGGCTCTCTGGTTTATTGTAAAGGTGATGTACAGGGGTTACAGTTATATAAGTGACTCACTGGTTTATTGTAAAGGTGATATACAGGGGTTACAGTTATGTAAGTGACTCTCTGGTTTATTGTAAGGGTGATGTACAGGGGTTCCAGTTATATAAGTGGCTCTCTGGTTTATTGTAAAGGTGATGTACAGGGGTTACAGTTATATAAGTGACTCACTGGTTTATTGTAAAGGTGATGTACAGGGGTTACAGTTATGTAAGTGACTCTCTGGTTTATTGTAAGGGTGATGTACAGGGGTTCCAGTTATATAAGTGGCTCTCTGGTTTATTGTAAAGGTGATGTACAGGGGTTACAGTTATGTAAGTGACTCACTGGTTTATTGTAAAGGTGATGTACAGGGGTTACAGTTATATAACTGACTCTCTGGTTTATTGTAAAGGTGATGTACAGGGGTTACAGTTATGTAAGTGGCTCTCTGGTTTATTGTAAAGGTGATGTACAGGGGTTACAGTTATGTAAGTGACTCACTGGTTTATTGTAAAGGTGATGTACAGGGGTTACAGTTATGTAAGTGACTCACTGGTTTTAAAGAACAAGGCAAGTCTGGCTGTTGGGTGACCCAGCACCTAGACACCAAAGTCACCTCAGACTTGAAACTGGTTGAATGCTCGCAATCTAACTTTGAGCCAGAAACTCAGATTTGCAACGTTTATTGTCAAAAGTAAACAGAAGAGGACATGATATTAATAATTTGCCCACATCCTGAGCTATCGCCACCAGCTAAGGATGGACACAGCTAGCCAAGCCCACCTGGACTCCTGATAGACCCCTAACATCTTTGTCTTGTAAATCACTGCATCAAACACCACTGACAATTATAGCAGAAGAAATCAGCCTTCCACTGTCTCAGAAAGAAAGCATGAAGTTTTTTTAAAGAGGCAGATCATCAGATGGACCTACACGCGTCTTTCCATAGCTGACCCATCCAATCTCACACTTAAAATAATGTTTAGTGATGTAGGCAATGCTGAACTTAACTGCCTGTGGGATTTAGAAGGAAGCTCACTTGAACAGTTACAGGCAGAGGTGAAGTGCTGGCATGGTCCCCGCACAGCGCTCGGTCTGGCCTCATTTTCCTGCTCTCCCACAAATATGGGGGCAGCATCCAGGAGGCCAGGGCTACACCGGGCTTGCCAGGAACGCATCCTTGCTGGCCCATCCTTTAAGGAAGCAACAACATAGTGCAATTCTTCTGGAATACTGCTTGATTTTAAATACATTTTTCTAGTCATCAGAATACAAAAACGGATTGCTCACACAGGAGCCCCGCCTCCCGCCTTGCACTGATTGACTCCTCACACAGGAGCCCCGCCTCCCGCCTTGCACTGATTGACTCCTCACACAGGAGCCCCGCCTCCCGCCTTGCACTGATTGACTCCTCACACAGGAGCCCCGCCTCCCGCCTTGCACTGATTGACTCCTCACACAGGAGCCCCGCCTCCCGCCTTGCACTGATTGACTCCTCACACAGGAGCCCCGCCTCCTGCCTTGCACTGATTGACTCCTCACACAGGAGCCCCGCCTCCCGCCTTGCACTGATTGACTCCTCACACAGGAGCCCCGCCTCCCGCCTTGCACTTGGGTGACCAGTCTTGGCTCGGGGTGTGTGCCACACTGCAGGTGCCGGGCCAGATACCAGGCTGATCTCCACCCACTCCCAGCCCCTGCTGGCTACCCTAAGCCCAGTGGGGAGAGGGGCTCTGCTCCTTTCTCCCTTCTCTGGGATTCCTGTGCCTTACACTCACTCCAAATCTCACTGCTCAGCCTACTCTCCCACCAGGACACTTCTGAGCTGTCAAGCCTAGTGTCCAGTCTACACCGAGAATCCCACAGGGAGTCTTCCCCTCCCCTCCCATCCTTCCAGCCCACCCTCCCTCTCAGCCTTACAGCCCATCCTCCCTCAAAGTCCTCCCCTCCCGTCCCATCCTTCCAGCCCACCCTCCCTCAAAATCCTCCCTTCCCCTCCCATCCTTCCAGCCCACCCTCCCGACCCATTCTTCCAGCCCACCCTCCCTCAAAGTCCTCCCTCTCCTCCCATCCTTCCAGCCCACCCTCCCTTGTGTCCTCAGTGCACCCTATCTATCAGCATTGCTGGGAGAGTCCAGAGCTTCCTGGTGGCCCTCGCCTATCTCTGTCCCTAGTCCAGGCCCTGACCATGTCTGGGGTCACCAGGGACCTCTAAGGCACACATCCCCTGTGCCTATTCCTTGTGGTGGGTTCAGAAAGATGCTGGATTATGGGCGGAGGACCCTCGCCTGAAACCCATGTCTAACACTACAAACCAAGCAGCTGGCAGGACACACACTGAGGAACATCAAACATGAGGAAACTTCAGTCATGGAAACAAGGCTCGTGTGCTGACCCCAGGGACTTCCATTACCGTAGGGCCAGCTGCTAACAGCTCCTCCCCTCTAAGAACAAACTTCATGCCAGCAGAGAGAGGGTGACATAATGCCACCCCTCGTGATAAGAACACAAGTCCCTGCCTGAATGCAGACAGGCATTTCAGCCTCAAGCCTAATCAGAGGCATGTTCTACCTTCCCTGGCAATATTGAGAAAGGAGGCTGGCCTGGTTCATTGATAAAGAACACAGAGCAGAGTCACAGAGACATGTCCATTGATGATAGCTGCATGGCTTCATAGCTGGTACACACACAAAGGGCGTCTACACACACACATGCACTTGGAAGTCCATGGACACAATGCATACATCACACACATGTGAACACACACATGCGGGACACCTAAACACCACAGGCACAGGTATATGGACATGCACACCTATGTTCACAACACACACATCATGTGTGCACATGAATGCACACGTGTGACACACAAACACCACAGGCACAGGTATGCAGGTTCAGGACATACATGCAGGCATCATAAACATGAATGCACACATATGACACATCTAAATGCTACATGTACAGACATGCAAATATACA